TAACCAACTACATTGTATATTGACAAAATAAAAATAAAAATAAATAAGTTTTTTTTAAAAATGAATTCCAGCCTTCAAATGATAACCCTATGAAAAACAAAAATACACAGATATTATATTTTTCCTTTCCCTGAAGTGAGGCTCCTCCACACTCATTTGAAATGTGTTTGTTTTTCATTTCAATGTTTTTACATGCCCATTATGTTTCAGAAATGATTATGTAGCATCATTCAGAGTACATGAATCTTTTTTTCAAAGGAGTTCACATCCAGTCAAAAGACAGATTACACTTTGATACACCACAGATTTGGAAAAATATAAATAAAATGACCACATAAAACATCAGTGCCAAAGCCCTGGAACCATCAATCCCTTGGGGATAATTTTAGTTTTATTTAAAATGGTCTGAGAGTATGTCCCACCAATACCTTACTTAACTTCAATAAGAGCTTGAGTGGGTAAAATTTGTTTTCAGCCCAGGACATTTGAACATCTGTGTACAATATTTCATCCCACTTCAGGGATGAAGAAAATAGAAAATACAGCCCAGGAAGAGCCGTTATAAAATTAAAATAAACAAACATTTGTTTGCAAACAACGGGAATTAAATTCAGTTTGGTTTCATTACTGCTCAGACCTAACAAGAATCCTTCCTATGGAGTCCTCAGTTGTCCAGTATTAAAATTATCAATGTAGAACAAACCATTGAGCAGTTCAACGATAAATTATCTCTATGTAAACAATCCTCTGGTTCTGGTTTTCCAGGGGGAAAGCTAAGCAGATAGATATAATAATATTCCTGGTCCAACATGGATATATTAAATAACCGTTTTGCTATAGAAATCGCTAAATGCTAACAGCATTTCCAAAAAGAGTACTCTAACTTGCTAAAACGTTTCATAAAAGATGGTTGCAAGCCAATATATAAAGTTTAGAGGCATTTCCATTTCCTCTACATTTAAAGGTTTATGAAATATTAGTACATTCAACGCAAAAGGATAAAGATAAACATCAAAGCCAACAACGGATGAAATATATTTCATTGTGCAAATCATAAAAGCTATGTTAAAAGGCTCTAGATCCCAGGTAAAAAACTGCACGAGAAAGGTAACAGCATTAATCCTAGCAGACGGTTAAGTTGAGACCTGGCAGAGCCTTACAGAATTGCAAATAACATCAGCGAGAATAACAATTGGAATAAACACCGTCCGCAGGCTTCAAAAACAATCAACACACTTGCTTCTCCACCTCTCCCCCCTCCTCCGGCTGGGTAGTGAAAGCAGTTGCCTCTCCCCAGCCTCCTTCCAAGCCGCTCTTCGCGCCACCCCCGCCCCTCTGCTCTCCACCCCTCCCCGCCCCCAGCTGGTGTATTCAGCAGCCTACAAGATTAAGAGGCGCTCGCTGCGGTCACTTGGCCTCCAGACCGATCTAACGTTCCCTAGTTCCCCGGACAAGAGAAATTAGAGACGCGACACCCTGGTAGTATTAGATGCCTTCGCCTCCAACCCGGCCCTCTCCAAAGCCGGGGCTGGGGTGGGAGCCCGGGCTAGTAGACTGGGCCGCTCCGGAGCGCGGGGTGGAGACTAGCGCTGCGCTCCCGGCCCGCAGCGCTACCTGAGCTGTCCATGGTGCTGGCGTGGTCCAGAGGCTGCCGGGCAGGACTCCGCGCCGCCGCCGCCGCCCCGGCGTTCACTCTCTGCTTGCTGCCACCCCCGCCGCTCCCAGCACTTAAGTCCCCATTACTGTCCACCAGCTGCAAAGATTCATAACCATCGTTGCTGGTCTTTTTCCGGTAGCTCCCGAGGAGGCTCATGGGCAAGCCCAGAGAAGAGGGAAAAAAATCAACCTGGGAAAAGAAGGGGGAGGTGGAAGGTGGAAAGGGCTAAAGGAGGAATTAAAAAAAAAAAAAAAAAAAATCAAGTGC